ATTATATGTCCTGTATGTATTATATATGTGTAAGTATCATACATATCATCACTGTAAGAATAAAACCTCGTATCTCCAGAACAGCAACTTTGCAGGAGAAGGAAAAACATTCTTAACTTTTAATCAAAGTTAATGTGACCAGAATTTTGTAATTTTGGATAATTTTGGACCAACAGAAATTATCCAAAATTACAAAATTCTGGTTAACAGACCAGCTTCTTTGTTTGATGTGTCTGTCATAAAAAGGGCAACTGGAATATGCAAATTATGCAAGACAAAAAGACAAGGCTTTGTTGCGACAGTGATGATATGTACGCAGCTATGTAATAATAATATGCACTGTATTATATGTGTATGTTTCTATATACACAGGGTGGGGCAAAATACTTTGAAAAAGTAGTGATGCTGAATACTGAATACACTGTCCTAAATGTCCTAAATGTGTTCAGTAATGTATTCTATCACAGTACATGAAGAAGTAACGTGTTAAGAATACATTTAGAATACATCTTGGTAAGGCAGATAGGAAAATTTTTGTTTTTTATTAATTCAATTCACATTGTTTCTCGCTGTTACTGGTTGGAAGTTTTCTTCATGTAATTACTTGAATGAAAAATTTGCTTATCATTTAAATTAAGTTCCAAAAATTCTCAACTACTTTTTTTCTCTCATGTGCTTTAGCAGAGCTCAGTAACACTGAGATTAATAACTGATCATCACATTGATTTATCAGTCTACTCAGGCTTTAACAGAGCTCAGTAACATTGAGATTAATAACTGATCAAATTGATTTATCAGTCTACTCAGACTTTAGCAGAGCTCAGTAACACTGAGATTAATAACTGATCATCACATTGATTTATCAGTCTACTCAGGCTTTAACAGAGCTCAGTAACACTGAGATTAATAACTGATTATCACATTGATTTATCAGTCTACTCAGGCTTTAGCAGAGCTCAGTAACACTGAGATTAATAACTGATCATCACATTGATTTATCATTCTACTCAGGCTTTAGAAGGAACCTCAGTGTTTGTAAAGAAGCCGTTAATTGAGGTCATCTTTAGTATTTGACTAATAAGCATATTTGCTACATGCCATGCACTGATTCTAAATAAAGTTAATAAACAAACCTTTCTTTTGTATTTCTTTTAAAGATTGAAGTATTTTGTTGGTGTTATTCTAGTATTATTCCAGTATTCTAAAGTATTCTAAAAGCGTTCTCCTAAAATGTAAAAGGTATCTGTATTCTAAATACTGCATTTATAAAATGTAATTTGGACTGAATACAGATATTTATTTACTGTATTCTGAATACATTTTCCCCATGCTTGTATTCTGTTACATCCCAACCCTGTGTATATATATTATATATATATATATATATATATATATATATATATATAAGTACCTATATGTAATGATACCCTAATCTTACATGTGAGATCCTAATCTTTACCTCCGGAACCAAAAAGAAATGGTTTTACTCTTTCAGTTTGAGTTATCAGGACCATTCTGCTCTTTGTAACCCTGTAGGGCACCTCTGATTTTAGTTTACGTACCTTTCTAGGACATTATTTCCTAACAATATATAAAAACAAAAACACACTCACACACAAAGATACATTCAATAACAGCAGCATAAGCCATAAGATCATATCAGCGATGCCTAGCAACTCAGATTGTTTGTTTGTTTGTTGTGGGAGGAGCCATAAACCAACCGGCCAGATTAATCGGCCAGAGACTGTGTGATTGGTCTGAGCTGAAAGCCCTGTGGTGATGGATCAGAATGCATGTCCACTTATAAACACAGCAGGTCATGTTGACATTTGGTACGCGTGTTAGGATGAAAAGAAACGAATGCTTGGAAACGATAAGGATGCAGAAAGGCATACTAAGCATTACTGAAGCAGCCTGTATTCCGACCTGCTTTAGCTGGGAAACTGAGTGTAGGCATGATAGATTAAGCTGCTGAAGTGCGGCTGCTACTGAGCTATTTTTGCCTGTGTATCTGGCTGAAAAATGATACGACTGCGTGCTCAAAGATTCACTTTTAAATGAGCTGGTTTTGTCTCGCACCTTACTCGAGAACAAAAGCACAGACTGAAGGCTCACAACACGACCCAGCAATCAACAATTAGCTCAGCGTCTCAATGCCGTCTAACAAACTTTGTGTTAGCAGGGAAGGTTTTCTCGTGATGGAATGTCATGTTTGTTCAGCCATGGCAGGATAAACCCAGAGAAAGCCTCTCTCCAGGAAGTCTGGCTGTGGGGAATCAGTTCGCAGCTCCTTTCAGCTGATGCTCAGCCAAGCCAAGGCAATGTCAGTGGTTACTAAGACACTTGGCAACCAGCGAGCCTTTGGCACTAGCTCACACTAAGCCTTCAGCAACTGCCTACAGGCTCTCGCAAACATACACCACCAGGCATCAAGTGTCTGAGGACACGGTGCAATGAAAATGTCAGATATTCAAGGCAAATAGAGTGGTAACTGACCAGCTAATATGATCACACGCCAAAATATTGACACTATGTTCCATGACAACTGTGACATCTGCATGACTTTGGACTTCTAACTTGGTTTCTACGATTAAAATGTCGAGAGGAAAAGAATGGAGCTTAGAGATTGTCATTGTTATAACAAAACCCCATAGTCATCAACGGTAGCTTTACAGGAGAAATAAAAAAAAATCTTGTTTTTGATAAACAGTGCTGTCGTGAGTCAGTGTGCAGTTATTGATTTATTTCTTTTATTTATCCTTTACTGGAGTCTTCAGCTTCAGAAAAGAGCTACAATTAATAGTATCCACTCTCTATTTTGTACTTACTATGTCCTCTCTTTATCTTTATTACAGCCTCCATTCTTTTCATGAGACTCACTTTCAGTTCCTCAAAGAATCTGCAGACACACCTCCAAAGTTCAGTCTTAGAAGCTGGTTGATCATTTTCTGAAGTAATCAAACACATTCAGTGATGTTGAGGTCTGGACTCTGGGGTGGTCAGTCCATTGGTCAGCTTCTTTGTTTGATGTGTCCGTCTCCTTTTCTCAGTGAGGTTCTTCTTGACAGCTACACATCCTTTCAGACCCATAGCGCTGAGTCGTCTTCTCACAGTGGAAGGATGGACAGAAACACCTGTGGATGTTTTCAGATCTGGAGCAGCTTGATTTTCTCCTCTCTCTCAAAGATGAAAGCTTTAAGTGCTGTTTATCTGATGGGGGCAGTTTTGGTGTGTACCAGGTCTTCCAGGTGGTTGTTAGGAGGAACATTTTCTCTGTAGTTTTTAACCCTTTAAAATCTCAGGCTGGTGGGCCCTGAGCATTAATCAGTTTTTGAACTACAGTTTTGGAAACTCAGTTTAGATGCTCATTAGAGAGAAATGTGTGAGGCAGCTGAGGTGGGTTTGAGTAGCTGTTTGTGTGAATGTCAGTGTCTCTTTGAAGGGGAACAGAATGTCAGTGAGAGCTTTAGTTGGATTGTAACTGGTTGAGTTTAAGATTGGAAGGATGGAAGAGTTAAATTGGCAGTAGGTGCACAAAAGTAAAGAGTGGATAAAATTAAAAACTGATTAAATTAGATATTATATAGTGTTTCGGGGTTCTGTGTAATTTTTTTCTGATACTAAAACATTAATAACTTGTACCTAATGGCCATTTTACAATAAGCCCCAAGCTTCCAAATATGAATACATGAAGGATGTCAAAATTATTGGTTTACTGTTCAATGAAGTGGCTTATATATTAATATTTTTACAGTGTCCTACATTTTTTCCACATGATTTCAAAATCTCAAGATCTCAAAAAACTGGGCTGTTTTTGCAGCTTAGTTTCCATACATAGACTGTGCTGACTGTGTGGAATGACATTTAATTGACTGTGTGAATGAACTTTAAAATAATATAAAATTCCAAACAAATTATGTGAAAAATTCATAAATAAAAAAGAAAAAATTATGAAATGGGATTGATAAAAAAGTAGTCCAGAAAAATATCTAAAATAAAACAAATAAAACTAAATAATAATAATAACAATTAGAATAACAAAAAGCTAAAATAAAAATGTTATTTTTATTTTAATTGCTGCTTTTCAATGTTCAGTTGTATGCAAAGGTTTGAACACCCTTGATTAAGTGTTTTGCTGGTTCAATACAAGCTAAAGCGTCTGCAACAGTGAACTAACTTACATATGACATTTGTTCTGCACATTTTAGTGCATAACTTAACAAATTGGAGAAAAACATAACATCAAATAAACAGTAATTGTGTTAGCGGATGTGTTAACTTATTTTTTACTAAGAAAATAAAAAGAACATGTTTGGGCACCCAAACGTTTGCACACTACTGTATTCTGTACGGTCTGTTCACTCTCAGAAAAAAGGGTGTGAAACTGGCACTGGGGCAGTGCCCCCCTTGTCAGTGGGGTGGTTCCCTCAAGGGTCCATCTCAGTACCTTTAGTCAGGGAACATAACTGAACCATAATCCACTAAAATGATATTCTCTAAGCTGTACTGACTCCACACACCCCGTCTCGTCTCCAGGCTTTTATTTTACTGTTCTGTTTTAAAACATTCAGTTATGAAAAGGTACAAATATGAACTTTTCACCTGGAAAAACTTATTTAAGGTTCACAATCAGACCTTAAAACCACTGTTGTACCTTTGAGGGAACATTTACACTGTTTGTACCTTGATGAATGGAAAACACACCTGTACAGAACCTTTATTTCTAACAGTGTACAAGCAGCTGTCTGTCTGTCTGTGTTCTTTAACAGGGTTTACATGCTACTTTAAACACTTTTATTTCAAAAAAGTGAGGAAAATTCAGGTTTTCCTTGAAATTTTCCTTGTAATGCAAGCTTATTTGTTTCTATCAGAAATGTTTTATGCTTCCCGTCAATAGTTATAACATCACAAACCATAAGAAGTGCGAAGTGGGTGAACTCCCATAAAAGGTGTAGATATGTGCAGCGTGGTCATTCTCCCTGGGGATTTCAGCTAATAAGAGCCATGGTATTTATAGATGGTCTTTTCAATGCATCCCTTTAATCCCTGGCTGTCCCACCCTACAGCGGACCACCACCCTGCAAGCGTCCACTCAGAGCACCTCCGAGCTGCACTGAAGGTACAGTTTTACCACCGTCCTGTAGGATTGTAAAGATAACACAGTAAGGATGTTCTGTGTGGTACTGCATGTCCTGAACAAGCTTTACATTGTGCTTTAAAGACCCTTAAACAGCGGGCAAACAGTCGTTTCACAGGGCAGCTGCTTTTTGCAGGAGCACTCTTGTCCATTTGCTGAGCTATAGTGAAGCAGTAGCACTTTAATGGTCCTGTTGATTGCTCTTCACCAGCAGGTCATAAACAGCCATGTCCACCGAACGATTCGACTGCCATTACTGCAAAGACTCTCTGCTCGGAAAGAAATACATCTTAAAAGAAGACACACAGTACTGCACCAAGTGTTACGAGAACCTCTTCGCCAACTGCTGTGAGGAGTGCTCTACGCCAATTGGCTGCAACAGCAAGGTCAGAAAAACACTATCACTGCTCCCGCAGATCAGCTCAGGTTGGAGTTTTAATCACAGTCACAAAGTTCACTCATTAACAAAGCCATCTTCACTAAACTGACGCTTTAAAAAGCAACTGCATGTTAAACTGTTGATCTATTAGTCAGTTATTGATCACTAACTAACACTGAAAAAGTGCTGTATTTACTCAAATGTAAACATATTTGACACATTAATGAAATATTTTACATCAACATAATGTTGCTTTTCACTTGATTTGTTTGTACCAGTTAGTGTGTGGTTGTAATACATTTTGTTAATGTTGAAATGATGTTCAAACTAAATTCAGGTTTGCACCTTATGTTTTAAGGTATGCATTAAATTAATATAACAGTGATTCTTTAATGCTATGGGTTATTCATTACCTACTATGAATTGTTCAGTAACTATTGTGAATTATTCAGAAATTGCTAGTAATTATATAATATTTACTATGAATTATTTAGAAATTACTATACATTGCTCAGTATCTACAATGAATTATTCGGTATTTGGTATAAATTATTCAGCATCTACTATAAATTTTTCAGTATCTACTATGAATTATTCAGTATCTGCTATAAATTATTCAGTATCTACTATGAATTATTCAGTATCTGCTATAAATTATTCAGTGTCTGCTATAAATTATACAGTATCTGCTATAAATTATTCAGTATCTACAATGAATTATTCGGTATCTGGTATAAATTATTCAGCATCTACTATAAATTATTCAGTATTTACTATGAATTATTCAGTATCTACTATTAATTATTTAGTATGTACTATGAATTATTCAGCATCTACTACAAATTACTCAGTATTTACTATGAATTATTCAGTATCTACTATTAATTATTCAGTATATACTATAAATTATTCAGTATCTATTATTAATTATTCAGTATTTACTATAAATTATTCAGTATCTGCTATAAATTATTCTCTATCTACTATTAATTATTCAGTATATACTATAAATTATTCTCTATCTACTATAAATTATTTGGTATCTGGTACAAATGATTCAGTATCTGCTATGAAACTAATGTGTATGTTCAGTAATTATGAGAGTGAAGAATTGAAGTTTGAGTTTCCAGGTTTATCATAAGAATAAAGCATATTTGCTGCTCCTAATTGATCTTCTGTCTGTAAATTGAAGGATCTGTCCTACAAGGACCGTCACTGGCATGAGAACTGCTTCAAGTGTGCCAAATGCAGCCGCTCCTTAGTGGAGAAAGCGTTTGCTGCTAAAGATGAGCTGCTGCTGTGCACAGAGTGCTATTCCCACGAGTACTCCTCAAAATGCACCACCTGCAAGAAGACCGTCATGCCAGGTAGGACATGCTGCTCCTCTACACTGACCCAAACAGTAAATTTAACTTTGTGATGATGCACTGCTGCTGGTGTAACACCGTCATCAATCTTTTAAACTCCTATTTTCATCCCTCCAGGGCATGTGGGGTTGGCATGTGATAACACAGTTTACTCAGTGCTGGTACAGAGAATACACTTAAATATGACACGTTATTGTAAAATGTAGTGCACACTTTCTGTTCATTTGCTGAGCTAAACAGATTGAAAAACATTAAATATAAAATATGCCATAATGTTTGCACAGGCCTTTTTTTCCATCAATTTAAAATTCAGTAAATAAACAGTAACTATAAAAATATATGATGTATATTTTATTTACATGAGCATGTTGTGAGTGTTTACTTTGATAGTCTGAGTTGTAACAGCATGTTAAACCAACCCCCCTGTGTGGAGGCCGCACTTTGGCCTGGCCAGCTCTCACTGTCAGCTGTTCATCTGCTTCTGAATGGTGCTCCACTACAGCCACCAAGAGGGAGATTATATTAAGAATGAATTCCATAATGTAAACAATCAAAAAGCACTTATGATGAACAAACGGTGAATCAATCTGGAGAAATCTGGAGAAGTCTGTCTGATTGCTTCAGAATTTGCAGATGATGTCGCTGTGGAAATACAAGAATGTGTTAAAATCTGCAGAAGTGTGTTGTTGTAACTTATTTATACTTAGAAAATCTAACTTTTGCTTTCATCTGTAAAAATTACAACAGCATACAGAAACATAATCATAGAGGTTTTGTTTTTTAGTCACCTTAATTCTCTATTTTTCAGCTAAAACTAACAGGTTGACAAGCTCAGCCCATTAGAGAGCTGGACCACTGCTGAAAACGGTGTCCAGTGTGTGGACAGCACTAATGCTAGTGAACTCATAGTGATTTTTAGTATGTATAAACAAAAACAAAACAGTAACTTTTACTTTCAAGAGAGATTTTCAGTGGAAATTAGTCATATTAAGCATAAAGTATACAAGCATAAAATTTGAGAATGAATGTTTTCATGTTAGTTAATGTTTTAATGTTAATATAAACCAATTTGGTTGCAGACAAATGTATAAATTGATTGTAATATGCACAATTTCAGGCTTCATATAATTAGTAGGGCCTCTAGGAAGCTGTAAGTAAAAATGAATCAACTTTAAAATGTGTCCACAATGATAAACATAATGACAAAGAATAATTGTAAGCAGGTAATTAGAGTATATATTAATCATTTATGATTTATTCACTCCTTTATTCACAGAATAGTTCGTAACATTTAAATCCACACTGAATGAGTTATTATTATATATAAAATAACAAATATGACTAAAATAGCAAGTGATTTCAAACTTTTAAACAATAGTGTAACTGCGTTCTTTATATTAATGCTTCCTTATACTTTATTTTAGGAAGCATAAATCAGCCCATTAGAGAGAGCTGCACCACTGTTGACCCTAAAGAGCGTCCAGTCCTCTCTGTTCCTCTGTCCGTCTGTGTTTGTGTTAGGCTCCAGAAAAATGGAGTACAAGGGGAACAGCTGGCATGAGACGTGTTTTCTGTGTCAGCGCTGCCAGCAGCCAATAGGAACCAAGTCCTTCATCCCCAAAGAAAACAGCTACTACTGCGTCCCCTGTTTCGAGAAGCAGTTCGCCTACCAGTGCTGCGCCTGCAAAAAAGTGAGCCATGCACTTTACACACACATTACCAGACCGAGAACACTATGCTCTCATTGCATCTGTTTATTTTGTAAACGTATGAAAGAGTAATTTATACTCGTCGTTATTTTCTTTCCATTGTAATTCTTTCCCTTTAACCTTTTTACTTTCATTTAACAGACACGTTCTTTTCACTTTATGCTGTTTTTTGTGTCTTGTGGGTCTGATCTCGTAATGAGAATACACGCCTGGGGACAACCTGCTAACCCTTTGGTTCTAGATTGAGCTGTTAACAATACTGCATCCACTCTAAACTCCGCCCCTTATTTCCTCTAGTCTGTGTTCTGTTAACGTCCACAGCAAAATCAATAAAACAAGCAGAACAAGCAGCTATTAAAACGCTATCATTAGCTAATGGAACTGTTTTATTCTTGTCAGAGGTAGTGATTATTTTTACTGTATGTAATCCACTGATCAGGCATAACATTATGACCACCTCCTTGTTTCTACGCTCATTGTCCATTTTATCAGCTCCACTTACTATATAGGTGCACTTTGTAGTTCTACAGTTACAGACTGTAGTCCATCTGTTTCTCTGATACTTTGTTAGCCTCCTTTTACCCTGTTCTGCAGTGGTCAGGACCCCTATGGACCCTCACAGAGCAGGTACTATTTGGGTAGTGGATCATTCTCAGCACTGCAGTGCTGCTGGAGTTTTTAAACACCTCAGTGTCACTGCTGGACTGAGAACCAAAAATATCCAGCCAACAGCGTCCTGTGGGCAGCGTTCTGTGACCACTGATGAAGGACTAGAGGATGACCAACACAAACTGTGCAGCAGCAGATGAGCTATCGTCTCTGACTTTACATCTACAAGGTGGATCAACAAGGTAGGAGTGTCTAATAGAGTGGACAGTGAGTGGACACAGTGTTTAAAAACTCCAGCAGCACGGCTGTGTCTGATCCACTTGTACCAGCACAACACACACTAACACACCACCACGTCAGTGTTACTGAAGTGCTGAGAATGATCCACCACCCAAATAGTACCTGCTCTGTGAGGGTCCATGGGGGGTCCTGACCACTGAAGAACAGGGTAAAAGGGGGCTAACAAAGTATCAGAGAAACAGATGGACTACAGTCTGTAACTGTAGAACTACAAAGTGCACCTATATAGTAAGTGGAGCTGATCAAATGGACAATGAGCGTAGAAACAAGGAGGTGGTCATAATGTTATGCCTGATCGGTGTATAATTACTATTAAATGTCAATCTTAAGTGTAATCGATGCATTGTTGTAGGTCTAACACTGGGAAAACGATTGAGTACAATAGGATTCTAATCCACCGCTGCTTGTTTTCTGAAGGCCATCACCACTGGTGGGGTCACTTACCAAGATAAGCCCTGGCACCGTGAGTGTTTCACTTGCATTGGCTGTAAGAGACAGCTGGCCGGTCAGCGCTTCACCTCCAGAGAGAACTACCCCTACTGCCTGGACTGCTTCAGCAACCTGTACGCCAAGAAATGTGTGGGCTGCACAAAACCCATCACCAGTGAGTGTTCAGCACCAGGGGCATCTCCTGGCCAATTATTAGGCCATTTTCAGGGGGCTTTAACCGGGAGAGGCGCTGCTCCAACCCAGCGCTGCCTGGTTAGCTGTGCTACCAGTGATTGTCTTACATAACACTGAAGGAGACACAATCCTCTGCTGTTTAACATTATGGAAAAGGCCAATCACATCACACCTCGTAAGTTGTAAGCCAGTCCTCTCTGACCTGGGGGAGGGGCTCTGCTGCTACTTGCTGTGCAAAGTTGGCAGCACCCACTAAGGATGTGACTGGATTTTAACTAAAATAAACATTTTTCACTCAAATAAACTGTCAGCTTCATTAAAAATATTTTATATACCAGTGAAACAGTAAGTAACAGTACAGTACGTTACACAGAGAAGATGCTTATCAGTTTGTGTCAATTTAAGGTCAATATCGCTGGCTATCGAGTCTTTCCTGGTTGCTTGTTAGCTAACTAGTTGCTTGTTGCGTGACAAAAAGAGATAGGCTAACGTTAGCTAGCTGATGGGCTAACTATTTAGTATGAATTTTTAGGAAATTAAGAAAAAAACTCATAATGAGAGCATGAACAAGCTAAAGAAGTAAACATTACGTTACTGACAGCTCTTTATATTTTTTTTTTCATGTTTCTCCTCAGAATTTAAAACAATCACATCAGTATTAGCTAAAGGCTGTTGTTGTAAGTTAATATAAAATATCACACATAATGCAGTTTTATATCCCTTTACTCCTCAGCCTGTAGATGGATATACAAAATTAAGAGGATGTCTATTGCTACTCTAAAAGTTCATGATGAAAAGATTATATTGAGGACATTAAAAAAAAATATCCTCAGTTAACAAACCTCCAGACCAGTCTTCCTCCTCCAATCTACAAATCTCTGAAAAAGACATTCAATTATATATAAAGCTCCAGGTGTAAATGTGTGACCTTACAGCGATAAACATGGAAAAATATTACTCAAGGTAAAATTGCTCTATATATATTTCTACTTAAAGTACAAAAGTACTTGTATTTAAAAGTACTTAAGTATTTAAAGTAGTTTTTACTACACCTCTACAGTTCCCTCAAAAAGTAATATATTAAAAATATATTACAGTATTTGTTATGAGGCAAAGATTTAGAGCTTTAGTTTTGGAGGTTGTGAATTCAGAGAGTGGCTTTTTAAGTACAGACTTAAAACTGATAGTTCTTCAAGGGTTCTTTAGTAAAGAAATTGTTCTATATAGAACCACAAACACTCAAAGAACCTTTTGCATGACTAAAGGGTTCTTTGCATCATGAAGGAATTTCTCAGATTGATGAAGAATGTGCTGTAGATGGTTCTATATAGAACCTTTTTGAAAAGGGTTCTGTATGGCACCCAAAAGGGTTCTGCTATTGTAACAAGCTTGTCTTCGTAACAATCGAACACTTTTGGTGCTACATAGAACCCTTTACAAAAAGATTCTGTATAGAATCATATACAGCACATTCTCCATCAATCTGAAGAACCCTTTAATCACGCAAAGGATTCTTTGAGTGTTCGTGGTTCTATATAGAACTACATTCTTTACTAAAGAACTTTTGAAGAACCATCATTTTTAAGAGTGTACACTGCATTGACAGTGAGTGTGTTTCAGGTCTGGCTGGAGCGAAGTATGTGTCGTTTGAGGAGCGTCAGTGGCACAGCGAGTGTTTCACCTGCATGCAGTGCTCCGTCTCTCTGGTGGGCCGCGGCTTCCTCACCCAGCGCGATGACATCCTGTGCACCGACTGCGGCCGTGAGAAATAAACCCAGCTGAAGAGTCCAGAGAATCTCCTCTGCAGGCCTTAATCTACAGCCTGTTCACAGAGTTACACTTGTCCACATACACTGGTGACATTTCAGCTTAAACTACAGGAACCAACGTTGACTGGATTAGAATAAATCGTCCTCTAGCTTCTAGTACAGCTAACTATCGCTATGTTTTTTGTGTGGCTCAAATATTAAACGCTTAAATTAGTTTAGAAGGCTGCTTTTGAATAATCTACCACTGGTGTATCTTAATAAAAACTACTGTAAATGTACTCAGAAAGACTTAATCTGCAAAATAAAAACGTTAATTGTGGTTGGACTTTTCTTGTCAGTGTCCATATGTCATTTTTTGCTGTATGTTCGAGTCATAGAGAGCATGCTAGACGTTTTTCCTCTTGTGTACACACTTACGGATGGCTATGGCATCGCTGGGGCTCAAACTCACAACCTCCTGTTGGAGTGATGGCTTAGTCCACGGCCCCACATGAAGCAGCTCACATTTTGTGTGTACAAATGTTTAAAAAACTGGAGAAAATGTTTGTTGTTTTAACTTTAAAGCAAGGCATCGTCTCATGTGGTGCAACTGTCTAATAATTCATCCCAACATCAGGAGGTTGTGAGTTTGAATACCAGCAATGCCAAGAGGAAAATATGCCAGATGGGACTGTGTGATAGAAGGAGCGCCAGCTAGTGGAGACTTTGAGTAAAAAAATGCAAATTCAGTTTTGTTTGTCTAACTGAGATGCAGACCTACAAACAGTAGCTGGGAGAATTTTTGACTCAGTTGTGTGAACTCAAGTTGAATCAAGAAAAGCCATGTAATCAGTTACTATATCATTAAATTGAGCAGACGTCTCATTTTTTACAGTGCAGCTGATTCTGTTTTTATAGCACAAAAACATCCCATAACGGGGCATGTTGTTTCACCACTGGGGCAACATTCTCCCCTTGAATAAAAACCGTGTGGGGTAATCTTGTATCAGTCATTAGTTTCACACAGAATAACTAGAAACAAAGCAAAAAAAAAAAATAATAATAATAATTAATTGATAAGTACGACTGATTCAAAAGTGCAAGGGTGGATTTCACTCTGTCTAGCTGTAAAACTTGTACACTAACTCATCTCCAGCAAGATGGTTAAAAATGCTGACTAATTCTAGTCTCAGTTATAGTAATTTATAATAATATATCGCTTCTGTCGTTTTTCAGTTTTTGACATTATTTGAAAATGCCTGTTGCCCTTTACAGTGTGTGTGCTGATGAACATAATGAACTGACCAAAATGAACGGCCTAAAATGACTTGGAAAAAAGTCGGGTTCCACTGACTTACATTCAAAGTAAAGTATGTTTTTTCCTTCTCCTGTAAAGTTACCATTTTGGAGATACGATATGAGCGATATAATCATATAATTGCTTTAGCTGGAACACAACACTAAATCTGGCTAGTCAGTGTCACATTGTATCTTGATAGTGAAAATATAACAAAAATAATTTTGGATATATAATAATGCTGAATGGAGGGGGCTTTTTTCGCTGTGGGGTACTTACCTTGAGGTAACACAATAAAAGAAAAAAAATGTTTCCTTTCAAAACTGGGTGAATTATGGTTGGTTGGTATAGTAAATGGTGTAAGTGGACATCTCCCCTCATTTGATCTCATTCACAGTATACTGTACAAAGATTTATATTTGTAAAGCCATTTATCTGGGCAGTTAACATTTGTTTGCTCAGAAAAACATTACACAGCAGTGCTGCTGGAGTTTTTAAACACTGTGTCCACTCACTGTCCACTCTATTAGACACTCCTACCTTGTTGATCCACCTTGTAGATGTAAAGTCAGAGACGATAGCTCATCTGCTGCTGCACAGTTTGTGTTGGTCATCCTCTAGTCCTTCATCAGTGGTCACAGGACGCTGCCCACAGGATGCTGTTGGCTGGATATTTTTGGTTGGTGGACTATTCTCAGTCCAGCAGTGACACTGAGGTGTTTAAAAACTCCAGCAGCACTGCTGTGTCTGATCCACTCAGACCAGCACAACACACACTAACACACCACCACAATGCCAGTGTTACTGCAGTGCTGAGAATGACCCACCACCCAAATAGTACCTGCTCTGTGGGGTCCTGTGGGGGTCCTGACCACTGAAGAACAGGGTAAAAGGGGGCTAACAAAGTATGCAGAGAAACAGATGGACTACAGTCTGTAACTGTAGAACTACAAAGTGCACCTATATAGTAAGTGGAGCTGATCAAATGGACAATGAGTGTAGAAACAAGGAGAAACCGATCTGATACCTGTTTTTCTAACTAGTTCACAAGACATAAAACAAGAAATTATTGTTTTGTCTGATTATATGTTTAATTATATTTATTCTAATGTTGCACAGTGTGTTTACAAGCTGACGCACACTCACTGCTTTTTAAACAGCTTGGATTGAAACAATTTGCTTATGTGACTTTCACAGTGATATAAAGCTTACATCAGCAAGTTAAGAGGCACAGTGCTCCTCTCATAAGAGACTTTCAGGGGAAATCAGCAAAATCAAAGAAAAACAAACACACATTTTGTTAGTTATTACATTCGACAGACGCGATATGAGTTTAGGTGACATGCCACTCTGTCTGTGGTTAATGTACAGACATGATCACGCTGGGTTTGATGGCACTGTGTAACTGTTCACACCAAGACTGAGTAAACTGCTGACTTTAACTTCCTCACAGGATGAGTCACATGGTGAGGTCAAAATACACGCAGAGAGAAAAGTGGTTCTTTTCTGTGGCAGGACGAGCGCAGCACTACAGAGGTGAGCAATCACACACTATATAAATACAGCAGTATTAGTGAATCATTTGTGCTGAAGTTGAAAATAATGTGTGCGCTCACAAAGCTGAAACGTGCGCAGTGGATATTTTTAGTGAATATTCATTTCTGTCAGTGCAGTAAGATCATCTCATTTGATAAGATCACTTTATATAAGTAATAATGTCTAGAAATAGGTTGAATAATCTTCTCAATGTAATCTAATTTGAGAAATATTATATATTGCATGCGTTTAAGATGCTTTCTCCTGGTAAAGAATCACTCATTGCATTATATTTGACAAAAAATGTGCTCTAATTGTTTGCTTTCTATCAGAGATATGGATAAAATAACGAGAACAATTTTTAATGAAATTATACAACAGTTAGTTCTGGTCACGTAAGCTGATTGGTTGAGAAGCGTCCTAACTGTGCTGTTATTTTGCCATAACATCACTTTTTTTTCACTGTATCACTCCGCTGAGACGCTGCTAAGCAACGACTTTGACAGCTGTAGGAGACGCTCAAGACATTTGAACGTTTTTACTTCTTACTTTGCCACAAACAGAAAATGGACACTTTTAAGATCACATTTGACCGACAGCCGATTTGGTCAGACTCTGAAGATGAGACAACACTAAATTCCCAAACTGTCATCACCACTGAGCAGCTTTTCAGTCGGCAGCTGTGACAGAAGAACAGCTAAACAACCTGGAATCAGCCAGAAATGTCGGACTGAGCTATAAAACTGCCGCAATATCAAGTTTAGCTCAGTTTTGTCCATTTTTGCCAGATCAGTATTAATGTTGTTTTGTTCCAGCCAGTCTGTAAAGCATCTTACAGCCCATTTAGTTTGGCGAATGGTTTGGGTTTGTTTAGCTGTTCCTCTGTCACAGCTGCCGACTGAAAAGCTGCTCAGTGGTGATGACAGTTTGGGAATTTAGTATAAGGAGCTGGAGAACGAACTGCCAGCTGTACAGCGGGTGGGCGGAGCTCGTTACTCTGACGTAGCAACAAGCTGCTTGTTAAGGAACTATAATTTGGCGGAAGGAACTGCTAACATTAAAACATATTAAACGCCGCGTTCACGGCCCAGAGAGTAAAAGAGAGCAATCCTAATTGGATGTGAGAAACGGGACACCTTTAAAAACGCTGCAAACAGTGATATCCTGCCAAGTGAAATCATCTTAAAGGTTGGAGTTTTCTTACAACAATCTCACAGTAAGAAATGTTTGAGATGCTATATGTCCAAAAGTCTGTACCCCTGCTTCTCCGGTGTTTCTTCTGCACTCAGAAAACACAGGCAAGGCAAGACCAGTTCATTTATATGGCACCTTTCACACACTGCAGTCATTCAAAGTGCTTTACAAATGATGGAATACAAAGACGATTCAAATTACATTTGAATGTATTGATTGAGAATGTATTGAGAAATGTGATTAAAACACAGTTAAAACAATAATTATGAAAGAGAACAATCATTAAAATTACAAAGCAAAATAAAAATGAAATTTGAATTATGAACTGGCTCTTCTACTTGTTAAGAAAACAAATAGGTTGGTATTAATTGACCCATTTTTAAAATGTACTTAAAACAATAGGATTAAAAGGACATATTCATCCCATTAAATCAACCAAAGTCAATCAAGTCAAATAAAAGAGATTGAATTGGGTTTTTCAGCCTCTTCCACCATCTATCACGAGAGGCACACTCAAATAAATTACGCCTGTTGTACTCAGAATAGGGCACGTCCCACATTATTCAACTATTTTGAGTTTGGAGGACATGATATTATATTATATTATATTATATTATATTATATTATATTATATTATTTTTTGTATTCAGAGATTTTACTGGCTCCTGGCTTCATCTATTTACATATTAGATGTGTCTTTCCTCTTTCACTGTCAGAAATAAAGGTTCTGTTCAGGTACATTTTTCGTTCATCAAGGTACAAACAATATAAATGTTGTCTCAAAGGTAAAACAGTGGTTTTAAGGTCCAGTTGTGAGCTTTAAATAAGTTTCTCCAGGTGAAAAGTTTGTATTTGTATTTTCATAACCAAATGTTTCAAAACAGAACAGTAAAATAAAGTCCTGGAGACGAGACGGGGTGTGTGGAGTCAGTACAGCTTAGAGAATATCATTTCAGTGGATTATGGTACAGTTATGTTCCCTGACTAAAGGTACTTAAGGGTCCCACCCCAGAGACCAGAGGGGCACTGCCCCAGTGCCAGTTTACTACCGTTATGCATATGCTTTTTTTCATTTTTGAAAAATATTTTGGTCAGTTGCCCAGCCTTGTTAATGTACTTTATCATATTCCATATTGCTGAATGTGGTTCTAAACTTACTGTAAACTACCTGTTAAACCAACTCTGGTAAGATAAGTTGGACCAATATGGACTTTAATGCATTGAGTTGGGAATGTGATTTAAGTAAATTATGCTGGATCAACTAAATTACCCTATTTTGAAAGAAACCTATTTAATTCTGTGGAAATACTTTCCATAATTCAATTAAGTTCAATGTGAAATGTGAAATAGAGAGTATTATTCTGGGAAGGCTTTACCCTAGATGTTAGAACATTGCTGTGAGGACCTGATTGAGCATTAATGAGGTCAGGTACTGATGTTAGATGGTCAGTTCTGGATCACTCCAACTCACCTCAAAGCTATTGGATGGAGCTTCATCACTCCAGAGAACACAATTCAACTGATTCCCAATGCTGTGGGAAGCCTCTAGCCCACACTTGGCATTGGGCATGGTGACCTTAGGGACCAGTGCTGCTGCTCTAGAGCTGAATTCACTCATTAGAAGAGCCGTCTGGATACAGTATATATAGACTAGATTTAGGATGATTTCACCTGCCACAACAAGAAGCTTTACCTTGTGTTCTTTTTAAAGACTTTCCTCTGTTTATTGTCTATTTTTACTGTGTGGTTTTACCAGAGTCATCCAAACATGGAGGAAAATCTGAGCATCTTTAGTTCTGCACGGCTCTTTGAGAAGGCGCCCACTGGCAAAGGCAAAGACAGATCCACCATTGAGTGCGTGGAGTGGTTCTGCAGCAACCTTTATGTCGGATTAAAGGACGGAACGGTTCAGCATCTGAGTGTGTTGAGCTCGAGTGGTGGAGAAAGGCCTGAAAGAGTGCGCGAGGTGGGGAGGAGGCAGATGGGCCGGGGTGGGGTCGTCAGCCAGCTGAAGGCAGTCCCAGTTCTGAACCACCTTCTCGTGCTCTGGGACGGCTCTGTCACCACGCTAAACATGTTCTCCCTGGAGCCCGTCCCAGGCCTGAAGAAGATCCAGAACGTCTCTGTGTTTTACGTCAGCCAGCCTGCTGCTCACTCTCAGCCTGTTTTCGTCAGTCTCTTCACAGCCTCCACCAAACGCAGAGTGCTGAGCATTCACAAGGTGTATGTGGACAGATGGGAGAGTGTGGGCCATGTGGCTCTGCCTCAGGACCCCGTGGCTCTGGCCGTGTATGAGACCTGTCTTTGTGTGGCCACGACTGACAGATACATTCTCCACGATTACTTCACTCAGAGCACTCTCGATCTGTTCCCACACGACCACGCAAAACAAAACATCATCGTCAGTGAAAGCGGGAAAGGAGAGTTCCTCCTAAACGGGCCTGGAAATCTGGGTGAGGCTGATTCACCAACACGAACACACATCCACAAACAGTGAAACATGTCAACCCTTGAAATCGAGCCTATTATTCAGTTATTAATGCATCTTGAGGCTTATTATTTTATTATTTTCAAATAACTTGAAGTGTTCAGTGAAATGAAGTGTTCAGCATCTACTATGAATTATTCAGTATCTACTATGAATTATTCAGTATCTACTATGAATTATTGAGTATCTAATATGAATTATTCAGCATCTACTATAAAATATTCTTTAACTACTATGAATTATTCAGTAACTACTATAAATTATTCAGCATCTACTATGAATTATTTAGCATATACTATGAATTATTCAGTAGCTACTATTAATTATTCGGTAACTACTATAAATTATTCAGTATCTACTATAAATTATTTAGTATCTACTATGAATTATTCAGTATTTGCTATAAATTATTCTGTATCTACTCTGAATTATTCAGTATCTACAATGAATTATTCAGTAGCGACTATAAGTTATTCAGTATGAATTATTCAGCATCTACTATGAATTATTGAGTATCTTCCGTTAATTCCTCAGTATACACTATGAATTGAACAATATTTACTTTGAACTGTTCAGTAACCAATATTAATTATTTAGTGACTATTATTTATCATTAAGTATCCCTCTATGAATTATTCAGCAACTACTATGATTTTTTATTAACTCTTATAAATTATACACTAAGTTCTGTGAATTATTCCATATCTACTATGAATTATTCAATATTTATTGACAGTTGTGAATTGTTCAGTAACTATTATAAATTATTCAGTATGAATATTTAGTATCTGCTGAGTTATTCAGTGTCTTACATTGATTCTTCAGAATCTACTATGAATTGATCAATATTTACTGTGAACTGTTCAGTAACCAATATTACTTATTTAGTGACTATTATTTATTATTTAGCACCTTCTATAAATTATGGAGTGACTACTATGATTTTTTAGCAACTGTTATAAATTATACACCCATTTCTGAATGTTATTTTATATCTACTTTGATTTATTCAGTATCTGCTAATAATTATTCATTAATCCATTGTATTTTTTAGTAATTACTATAAATCATTCAGTATCTTTTATTAATTATTCAGCATTAATAGTAACTTCTGTGAATTATTCAGTATATATTATAAATTATTTGATATTTACTAGGAATTATCCTGGAACTACTATTAAACATTAAGTTACAACAATTATTACTCAATATCTACTATGAAACTGTGTACGCTCTGTAATTCTGTGAGGAATTAAAATGCGAACCCACAGACAGACCTTTAGAGTTTATGGGGTTAAAAAAAAAGCAAATATACCTAAAATTAATGCATATGAACTGAATCAAATTGCATTGAAAATCTAATGTCAGAGTAACTTCACTGGCCAAGTGCAATTTTACAAACAGAGACTTTGTCTTGGTGAAACTGAAGCAAACATAAAAGAACATCAGAACACGAGAACGAAACAAAGAACAAAAGAAACAAATACAAATAAATACAAAGACAGCCACAAAGGGTGATATACACCTCCATACAGGGTATTTACAGCAACAAAGCAGACCGGGTGATGTATTTCAATTGAGCTGAAGCAAATCAGCTGAGATGTGTTGAGCTGAACTGAGCAGAGCTGATTTTTGCACAGGCATGTTTGTGATGAAGGACGGTGTGTCTGAACGGCCTCCTGTGCAGTTGCCTGATGGGGTTCTGGACGCGGTGGTAGATTTCCCCTATGTGCTGGCTCTGCAGAGTCAGACCCTTTATATCTACAGCATGCTGGACCAGCGGCTCAAACAGACGATTTCCATGCAAAGCGCCAAAGCTCTTCTCTCCACCACAGGTCAGTCTCTGACTTACAATCAGCTGTGTAGGAAGAAATAGGGTCATTCTACAGAAATGTCCACTTTTTTATATTTATCCATAGGAGTCACTGGTGTTACTGATCGTCATCGGTGTTCCACATAAGAAAGGTAACACCAGAGACATTTTTAATGAACAATACATTTTACAGAATGGCTGCTACAGAGCATCAAACCACATGTTGTCAGTCATGGAATTTCCACCAAAATATGTAATGTCATCCTTTTGTATTCTATTTTTTCACAATTACCTCAGAATAAAGCTGGTCACACCAGTGACTTCAGCTAAAAGCTTCATATGAAATCATGAGCTAAATGAGAAAATCTCTGATAACTGAAAGACACAGTGGACTCACCATGTGCTTTTCTTCATAGATCCTCAGAAAACAGGTAAAAGGAAGTCGAGTGATGTCATCAGTGTGACTTTTATTTCAAAATAAGAGATTTTTGTTACGCAGTAACACCAGTGACACGACTCCTGGGGAACTTTCATTATATATTTTATAATATTTATTTGGCATTTGTTTTCTTTATGGAATGTAATTCATATATTTCATAGTCATGTATAGAATATTGTAGTTAAAATTGCAGAAAAATGTGTTTTACCTCAAAATATGGGACTCACCCTTTACACATGACTGTGAGGTCGAGCACATGCTCGGAATTCTATATGATTGATTAAAAAAACTATTTTGCTAAATTGATGGATCAAGAAGGTGTAATTGCTAAAATAATGTATTGTTTTATTTCCAAATATAAATAAATTGTAACCCTAACATGTTTTTTAAGTGTAATATATGTGTAAACGCTATGGACACAAAAATGTAGAATGACCCAATACCTACAGAGCTGCACACCACCCTTTATTTATTTAACTTCCAGTACAAGTTATTCATTTCTCAGCATCAAAAAGCATTTTTAGCAGAAAAGCCTCAACAACTAAAACATCATGTTTCAGTTTTTACTGAGTCCATTTTTTACCTTTATTCCAGCTTCCATTCTTTTCAGGAGACTCACTTTCAGTTCCTCAAAGAATCTGCAGACACACCTCCAAAGTTCAGTCTTAGAAGCTGGTTGATCATTTTCTGAAGTAATCAAACACATTCAGTGGTGTTGAGGTCTGGACTCTGGGTGGTCAGTCCATTGTTCAGCTTCTTTGTTTGATGTGTCCGTCTCCTTTTCTCAGTGAGGTTCTTCTTGAACAGCTACACATCCTTTCAGACCCACAGCGCTGAGTCGTCTTCTCACAGTGGAAGGATGGACAGAAACACCTGTGGATGTTTTCAGATCTGAAGCAGCTTGATTTTCTCCTCTCTCTCAAAGATGAAAGCTTTAAGTGCTGGTTATCTGATGGGGCAGTTTTGGTGTCTATCAGGTCTTCCAGGTGGTTGTTAGGAGGAACATTTTCTCTGTTGCTTTTAATCTGGACCCAAAAAATTAATAAATTGTCCTTAATGGTTGTTTTGACTTGTGCAGAGTACTATACCTTTTTTGGTCCACTATGTAGGTGTACAATTACAGTCTGTAGCCCCATTCATCATTGGTCAGTTTGTTCAATCAGGCTACTGTCACTAACTGTACACCAGTGAGGTGGAGCTACAAGTAAGGGGTTTCTCCACTGACTGGCCGGTGACTGTATTATAATGTTATTTGGCATAATTTTCTTATATATTCAATCAGACTGTTAACAATGACAGCTTATTATACACAGATCAGGCATAACATTATGACCACTCACTGTCCATTTTGTCAGCTCCACTTACTATATAGGTGCACTTTGTAGTTCTACAGTTACAGACAGTAGTCCATCTGTTTCTCTGCATACTTTGTTAGCCCCCTTTTACCCTGTTCTTCAGTGGTCAGGATCCCCATGAACCCTCACAGAGCAGGTACTATTTGAGCGGTGGATCATTCTCAGCACTGCAGTGACACTGACGTGGTGGTGGTGTGTTAGTGTATGTTGTGCTGGTCTGAGTGGATCAGACACAGCAGTGCTGTTGGAGTTTTGAACACCTCAGTGTCACTACTGGACTGAGAATAGTCCACCAACCAAAAATATCCAGCCAGTCCTGTGGGCAGCGTCCTGTGACCACTGTTGAAGGATTAGAGGATGACCAACACAAACTGTACAGCAGCAGATGAGCTATCGTCTCTGACTTTACATCTACAAGGTGGACTGACAAGGTAGGAGTGTCTAATAGAGTGGACAGTGAGTGGACACAGTGTTTAAAAACTCCAGCAGCACTGCTGTGTCTGATCCACTCAGACCAGCACAGCCCACACTATCACACCACCACCACGTCAGTGTTACTGCAGTGCTGAGAATGGTCCACCACCCAAATAGTACCTGCTCTGTGAGGGTCCATGGGGGTCCTGACCACTGAAGAACAGGGTAAAAGAGGGCTAACAAAGTATCAGAGAAACAGATGGACTACAGTCTGTAACTGTAGAACTACAAAGTGCACCTATATAGTAAGTGGAGCTGACAAAATGGACAATGAGCGTAGAACCTGATCGGTGTATACTGTAATGTTTTAGATTGTATTGAATTGTATCAGACATTATATTATATATTTGTCACTGTCCAAAGAAAAACAAGTATCTCCATAATGGTAATTTTTCAGGAGAGGCCAAAAATGGTCTTTACTTTTAGTGTGAGTTAATGTAAAGTGGTTTTATTCCAAGCAATTTTGGAGCATTTCTGTTGATCCAATTATCATAAAATTGTCACACAATGTAAAAAGCAGCTGCTGGGCTCAAATGATACAGAAAAATAAAAATCGAAAAAAATGGACACTGTAAAAAGTGGCTCATCAGATCTACCTAAAAAAATGACTTAATGTGGTAAGAAGCAATTGAGCTAGTTTTATTCATCTTTAAAAAAAACTAGATTCATTGAAAGAATCGTTCATTCAAAGTGTTTATTTAGGTTGAATAAAACTAGTTAATTTACTTGTTACCAGTCATTTTTTTAGGTAGCTTTTTACAGTGGAATACATGTTTTTCTTTGGACAGCTATTGTCTTTGGTGTAATTTGTACTTTGATCGCTCCTCTTTGCCCCTCTATCTAGAAAGTGTGCTTGTAGTGGCTGAGAGGGAAATTCACTGGCTGTCACAGACGCCCCTGCAGGATCAGATTCAAGGCCTGCTCAGATGTGAGCGAGCAGATGAGGCATTGACACTGCTGGACGGAGTTCAAGCACTTTTGCCTGAGGACTCTTACAAGGTAAGAAAATGTTGACGGAGCGGCGGATGGAATGCGTTTAATCCTGATCCTCTTTGGAAATGTAAGTAAATCATAATCCACTGCATTCCAGAACGCATATCTCGCACAATTATCACCTCCTATAGGGCTTCAGATGACACTTAATTAATATTGATGAGCAGCTAAAGGCTAAAAACACTGGAGGAGCAACATTAATAGTCATGTAGAGTATATGGTATCTGTAATGGTCATGATGTCATCAGATCAGCAGGGTTAAGCAGCTGGGTTTTTGAGCTGCTTATAAACACATCGCAGGAGCTATACGGGAACAGACGCAGATTTAATTCCACCATTAAAGTAACAGCTCAAGATTTCAGGGCAGATTCATTCGCGGTTGGTCGTCCATCACTATTTTTTAATCATGTTGTTCAACGTGAACAACATGAGCTGAAGAAATACAGCTTTATTCATTAATGCGGTTCACTTCTGTTCAAAATATGAACTTTTTCATTTATTATTAGATTTTTTTCCCCTAAACTTTCCAATGTTTCTCTTGTAGAACCTGCACAGGAGTATTATCTGCATATCTGGGTGGTTAAAGTTTTACAGAGAAGCTTTTCTCGACGCCAAAGAGCTTTTCATGTAAGTGCTGAGACATCTGAAAATGAATATTTTACATAAGACATTAAAGGGCACATATAATAGAAAACTCAATGCTTTTTTTAATAAGCGTCTGATGTATTATGTAAACATTGATAAGGTTTAAAAATCAGTTAATTCCCTGGTCCACATATGGAAGTTAAGCTGTACAACAGCTGTCACTGTATTTGTGATGTCACAAAAACAATGTATTTACATATATTTAATTACTCAGCCTACAGCAGTTTAGCCCTGCCCACTCACATTGAAGTTATAAGGAGTGTTTCAGCTAGAACTGCATTCTGAATGAGGTACAACACAGGGTAGCCAATCAGAACAGAGCCTATTTACGTATATCAGTCTTAAAGTAACAGTAACATAGTAACAAAAGCAGCCTGTTTAATCCTAAGGGATAAAGAGAGGCTAGAAAAATAGTCAAGAAAAAATGAATTATGGCTGTTTTTGGTACCTTAATGACACAAATATTATAAGTGGACACCTGGGGGAAAAAAAGTACAGAACGTGGGCCATTAAAGAGGTTTCAACATTTAGAATTCACCATTAAACATGTTAAATATTTTTCCTTAGTAAAGGTGGCCTGGACCCGAGGGACATCATCAGTGTTTACCCAGCAATGACTGTCATCAGTTCAGACTTTAAATCCCAGCGTCCTGCTGTAAGCAATGCCAAAGACCTGTGGAGGTTAAGTAGGGATGACTGGCCAACATTTCAACAGTACCTGAGCTTCCTCAGCCATTTCTTAAGAGAGACCCGCGGGACAGTCCGGGGTCAAATCTGCCCTCAGGATGTCGACACAGCACTACTTAAACTGTATTTAGAGCAGGGCGATGACGAAAACCTGGAGCAGCTTGTGTCGTCTCCTAATGACTGCGTACTCCATGTGTGCTTGCCAGAGTTGGAGCATCACAAAAGGTTAGAACGACTGCAGAAACCTCACTGGTCATACCGCACCCACTAGCCACTTCATTAGAAACACCTGCACTATACTTCCACTGAGTGGCCATTTAATTAGACATTTAATTAGACTTTATATTTCTGCTCACTGGCCACTTTATTGGAAACACCTACCCTAACCATTGAGTGGTCATTTAATTGGAAACACACCTCCTTTATACTGCCAGTGATTGGCCACTTTATTAGAAACACCTACCATATACTGCCAGTGGCTGGCGACTTTATTAAAAACACTTCCTTTATACTTCCACTCGCTGGCCACTTTATTAGAAACACCTACTTTATGCTTCCACTCACTGGCCACTTTATTAGAAACACCTACCTTATACTTCCACTCACTGGCCACTTTGTTAGAAACACGTACCTTATACTTCCACTCACTGGCCACTTTGTTAGAAACACCTACTTTATACTTCCACTCACTGGCCATTTTATAAGAAGCACCTACCTTATCCTTCTGTTTACTGGCCACTTTATTAGAAACACCTACCTTATACTTCCACTCACTGGCCATTTTATTAACAACATCTACCTTACACTTCTACTTGAGTTGCCATTTTATTAGAAACACCTTCTTTATACTTCCACTCACTGGACACTTGAAACACTGACTTGGACAGGATGAATTCTGTAACAGATGAGCTACAGTCTATAACTGTAAACATACAAAGTGCCCATCTATTGCAGGTATTTCTGATAAAATGGCCAACAAGTGTGGATACATAATAGATGGACCTAATAAAGTAGCTAATTAGCATATGTTATGACTAAAAAGAGTAAAAAAATCCTCTTTTATGTGTTCATATTCCAGATTTTTCACCATGGGATTGCTCTACCAGAGCCAGGGTCAACATTTCAATGCAATTCAGGTCACTCCTTCAATAATCTAGTAAATCATAGTGGTATGTGTATAAATACAAAATAAAATCATAAATTTTATATGACACCGATGCATTTTTTTCCAGACGTGGGTGCGGATTGTGGATGGGGTGTGTGTGGACTTGCGGCCTGGTGTGTTTCCACACATCGTGAACACTCTCTGTCAGCTCAAGCAGAAATCCATCATCATGAAATTCATAGACTGGGTTCTTCAAAGGGACCAGAAGGAAAGTGATCTAACACACACACAGTTCAGCTGCGGAGGGCAAATCCATTCAGAGTTATAACGGCAGCTTTACTTTCATGCGCTCTCCTCTCTCAGGAGAGCAATCAGAGAAGAAAGGGGAAGTGAGGACAAAGTTGTCTTGGTGTTATATAAGAAGGATAAATCTGTTTATGCTCTTTTTATAAAAAAAGATGTGTTATTTTTAACACTTCAGTGTATCTCTTGATGGAACATAGTTTGTTATGTGTGATTCCTTTAGCTAGTTTCTCATCTCATATTCGCTTCCATGACCAAAAGTATTTGGACACCCCTCTTGATTATTGAGTTCAGCTGTTTTAGCCACATTCATTGCTAACAGGTGTATGAAATCAAGCCATAGCCTTGCAGTCTGACTTTAAATGTGGCACTGTCATAGGATGGACAATGGCCAACTGTAAGTGCTATTAAAATGGAAGCATCTATGAGAAACAACAGCTCAGCCACAGGGTTTCATGAAATGAGTTTCCAAGGCTGAGCAGTTGCACACAAGCCTAAGATCACTATGCGCAATACCAAGCGTTGGCTGGAGTGGCGTAAAGCACTGCCACTGGACTCTGGAGCAGTGAAAACATGTTCTCTGGAGTGATGAATCACGCTTCACTATCTGGCAGTCTGACTGAGGAATCATACTTACTGGAATGCATAGTGCCAACAGTAAAGTTTGCTGGAGGAGGGATAATGGGCTGGGGCTGTTTTTCAGGGTTTGGGCCCCTCAGTTCCAGTGAAGAGTGATGTTAATGCTACAGCAAACAAAGACATTTTGGACAATTATATGCTTCAACTTTGTGGCAGCAGTTTGGTGAAGAGCCTTTCCTGTTCCAGCATGACTGAGCCACTAAGCTTTCCCAGAAGAGTGGAGGCTATTATAGCCGCAAAGGGGGGGAAACTCCATATTAATGACTATGTTTTTGGAACTGAATGTATAACAAGCACCTATAGGTATGATGGCCAGGTGTCCACACAGTTTTGGCCATTTAGTGTAAATAGAAACAACGTAAATCACCAATGTAATCTACCATCCAGATACCTGAGTGACATGCGTGCACACGAAGAGAAGCTGGAGATTTGGCCTGAACAGATGTTATACTGCCAGTGACTGGCCACTTTATTAGAAACACTTCCTTTATACTTCAACTCACTGGCCACTTTATTAGAAACACCTATCTTGTACTGCCACTGACTGGCCACTTTATTAGAAACACCTCCTTTGCTGGCCACTGTATTAGAAAACACCTCCTTTATACTTCCACTCACTGGCCACTTTATTACAAACACGTACCTTATACTTACTCTCCCTGGCCACTTTACTAGAAACACTTACCTTGTACTTCCATTAACTGGCCACTTTATTCAAAACACCTCCTTTATTCTTCCACTCACTGGCCACTTTATTAGAAACATCTTCTTTATACTTCAACTCAGTGGCCACTTTATTAAAAACACCTATCTTGTACTGCCACTGACTGGCCACTTTATTAGAAACACGTACCTTATACTTACTTTCCCTGGCCACTTTATTAGAAACACTTACCTTATACTTCCACTGAGTGGCCAAAATGTGTGTTATTAATTAACACAGCATTGTTCCTGGTTTTTTTTTAGGTTGGGGTGTTGATTTTTACCAAAAGAGACCCAGACGACCAAAGCACATTTGCACCAGAAGAAGTTCTATCATTCTTATCAAACTACCCAGCGGCTTCAACTCTGTATTTGGAATATTTGGTCCATGAGCTGCACAGCAAGGTTAGTTCATCATCTCACTCACAGCTGGATGCTCGAGCGCTAGCTTTAAGCAACCCACTCAGTATACACAGCAACACGGCCGGCGATCTTTAACTCCTACAGAGTTCAGTTTTATTTCATTCGGATTAAAGCAGAACAGTTGAAGATGCATCACTCTTTCATCAGGAAGAGAAGCACCACACTCTGCTGGCCACCATGTACATCACTCACATCCTCCAGACTGCACAGAGGACACAGGACAGTGATGTAAACACAGAGATGAGAGAAAAACTGCAGCAGTTACTGTGGTACTCCTCCATCTACAACACTGATGCTGTACAAGGTAACGGCAAAATGTCCATTAGTTACATTAGACTTCCCTGCATAGCACAGCAGGCCTGGTCACCAGCAAAACCTATCATATGTTGTGTTTTGGATGCTGGTATGCTGGTCAACCAGTATGGCCACGTTGAATCAGCACTAGACCAGTATAAACCAGCCCAGACCAGCTTAGACCAGCATGGAATGCATGCTGCTCTGCTCCAAGTAAATTTAATTCAGACATCAAACATGTCTTGGCTCATTAATAACATTTGAGGTAAGACGAACATTGTCAACATCTGTTTTTGCCAAATTGTAATATAGCTACTCATTCTTCTGTGCAGTATATTCTGACCCTGAGCTCTAGATGTAAACAGAGCCCTTCAGAGTGGTTTGATGTGAGTTGCTCTGTTCTAGAGAAGCTTATAAACTCGGATTTCTTTACAGTGGTGGTGATAGGAACCAGGGATCAGACACTGACACACAAATATAGCCTTTTATATACTATCCGAGAGCATCAGTAAACCTTTGGGCACTGTTTTACCTTAAAAGGCTCTGCTTTACCTCTCCACCATGAAGGTAATTTTAAAAATCTTATCTGAAAACTATTATAAAACAGTGTCTCAGTCATCAGGCAGTGAATTCTTAACCATTTCATGTAGTAACTTTCTCTGAGGGAGCTTTTAGAGGTGGACGTCTGGTTCCTATCACCACCACTGTGAACAGTTCTGACTCTGTAAGTTTCCCCAGAACAGAGCGTTTCACACCAAACCACTCTGAATGACTCTGTTTACATCTTAACCAATTAATTATGCAGGAATTTTTTAATGTCAAATTTTTTGAAGCTGTAAGTGTGTGCTTGCAACTCAAACAAAGAGCATTTCTGCTTCAAAATGCGTCTTAATTCAGCCTTTTCCTTGCCAGCATCACAGTGTCATTGTTGTCAGGACAAAATCTTCATTTTTGTCATTTTTTTCATTATTTGCTTTTACATTATTTTGAAAACACCAGCTGCTTTTCACATTCTGTGAACACTTCATGATTAATGGACCAATAGAAATGGTCCAAAAATAGTTGGAAAAAATCTCCTTATATTGACTTACATTAAAAATAAAAATTCTCTTTTTTGGAGAGAAAGATTGTGTTTCAACAGCAATAATCTATATTTGTTATTGATACATATTAAGCCAAGGGTGCACCACTCCAGTCCTGGAGGGCTGGTGTCCAGCATACGTTAGTGATTTAACTGCTCAACTACACCTAATTACACTCATCTGCTAATTGGTAGGTTTAATGGGTGTGTTTGAGTAGGGAAACCTCAAAACTGTGCTGGACACCTGGAGTTGTGCACCCCTGTATTAAGCTATAATTTATATATTATCTCTGCTGAAAAAAATCCCAATGTATGCAGCCCAAGTAGACAAGAACTAATGTTTTGCCCCAATTTTTAATTACACAGCAAAAATAAAGTCATCAGCCCTCCATGTGGAGAAAGCTATCCTGCTGGGGCGAGCTGGCCAGCACAGGACAGCCCTGCAGATTCTAGTCAACCAAGAAAAAGACCATGAGGCTGCGGAAAACTACTGCAGGAGGACCTCTGCTGGACAAGGCCGGGAATTCACCCAGCAGCTCTTCCTCTGCCTTCTCCAGGTCTATCTGGAGTCCAATCAGAGCGTGACTGCGGTGGTGGATCTCCTCAACAACAACGCCATGACTTTTAATCTGGTCAGGGTGCTGCAAGTCCTGCCCAGCTCCTGGTCCCTCCAGCTGGTGAGGCGTTTCCTGTGTGAGTCGCTGAGAGGGACGGTGCATGAGAGGAGGATGAGAGGCCTGGAGAAGAACCTGGCCAAAGTGGAGCACCTCAGGCACAAACATGCCTGGGTAAGCAGCCCTTTTAATGAGCCTAAACCAAAATATACTTTATTTTTTTTAAGTTTGATTCACTAGATAAGCAGTTTCAGAGCATGTGCTTCACTTTTCAGTCCATTTTGGCAGCTAAGCTGCATTAACAGCCTGTTTTGAGTTCATCATGGTTGTGATATCATTTACCTATGATGACCCATTTAGGTTTACAGCAGTTTAGCTCCACTCAATCCTGTTGAAGCAGCCTACATTTCAGCCCAGACTGCCTTCTGAACAGGGCATGGCAAAGGACTGCCTATCAGAAGAGAGTTAATTTGCATATTTCAGTCTTAACGACACAGTATCAAGAACTGCATTGTTTTTTTTTGTGATGTCACAAATTCACATATGAGCCTACTCAGCCTACAGCAGTTTAGCCCCACTATTTCATGTTTAAGTTAAAGCTGGGACTGCTTTTTGAATGAGGCACAATACAGGGCCAATCAGAAGGGAGGTCATTTGCATATTTCACACTTAACGACACAGTATCAAGAACTGCATTGTTTTTGTGATGTAATTTACATATATGCAGCAGTTTAGCTGCACATTCATGTTGAAGTTAAAGACCTGGACTGCTTTTTGAATGAGGCACAATACAGGGCCAATCAGAAGAGAGGTCATTTGCATATCTTAATCTTAAAGGCACAGCAACGGCCTGTTTAATCCTAAGGTATAAAGAGAGGTTGGAAAATGGACATGTAAACATTAATTATGACTATTTTTGATACATGAAACCACATGAAAGTTGGTTTTAAGAGGAAAAAATAAAATGCAAGAAATATGTAGGATAGATGGATTGTTTAAGAAGACCAGGCCCGTTTTTACTGTTCATATGGATCACAGTGCTCCACAGCATGTTTGATTTCGCTCTGCAACAACCAATAATAGCTTTTCTTCACAGATGGAAGCAACACAAGAAAAGGTCAAACTCGACAGAAGCCGTGTATGTCACTCTTGTCGGCGGCAGCTCATGGGGCCTGAGTTTCTGCGCAGGCCTACTGGGGAGCTCATCCACACTCACTGCTACACTGCAGACAAGAGCCTCTGAGCGCTTAACAGAGGCTGAACAAAGGCCAGCAAAAGTCATACAACTCAAAAGGACAAAGCAAGAAGGTGGATCCTAAATATTAGTGGCTAATCGGAAATGTTTTGATTGGTGGTTCTGTTTTTTATGGATTCTTGGAAAATGGCTTTTATTATGTGTATGTTCAAAACAACATAAATGCAGGCTTTTGGATGCCTGCTGCTACTGTTTTTAGCTATGTGATGTACTTTTGTCGATGTAGATAACAGTCTGTTATACAGCGTAAGAAACCACATGCGCAACTCTATTAGAGATTAATTAAAGGGACACAACAATTTAGCCATTGATTAACTGCAGTATTCTCTGGAGTGAGATTTTCCAGTTTAAAGACTAGAAAACCCCCCTTCTGATGATGCACCATGGACTTTTGAAAAACTACAACTGCTCTAGGGTGGATTCTTGGTAGGTGGGCCGTTTTTAATGTTTTTAAAGGTGGGCTGCTTTTAAAGGAAAGCCTATAGCAAATATCCTTCATATATATATATATATATATATATATATATATATATATATATATATGTGTGTGTGTGTGTGTGTGTGTGTGTGTGTGTGTTAAGTATAACTGTATGGAGTGAATGAATTATACCAACAACAGAAATGTCTCATTACATGAGGAGGACAACAAGCTGAAAGCTAATGTTTGCAAGGTTGCTAAAGTTGGCTAAGATCTAGATAACCTACCTCAGTTTGGCTTCTTTTCTCTGGCTAAAAGGGTAAAAAACTTGGTGTCCATTTTGTGTTAAGGAGAAAATGGCTGTTTTTGATGATTGAGGTAAGAGTTACAGTAATGCTAGCTTGGTTCTATATATTAGCCCATAGCTCAGTGGCTAGGCTAGCAGTCAGGATTTGTTGACACCACAGTGATTCCAAATAGACCTCGTATATCATTCTGTAGTTAAGGTGGAAGAAAATCACTGCTATCATGCTCTGTTCTACACTATAGGTGTACATTTTTCCACTGAAACATGTATTTTCTTCATAACAAGCATTAAAAAATTGCTAGCAGTATGCTGATGTCTCAGCAGCTAGCCAGCTAACCTAAATTTCCCATTCCACCTTAAGTGGTGCTGCAGTTACATTCTGGCCTCTCAGGCGTCAGAACTGCTGCACCATTTAAGGTGGAATGGGAAATTTAGCTAGCTAGCTGCAGAGACATCAGCATACTGCTAGCGATTTTTATGCTTGTTATGAAGAAAAGGGCCTTAATACATTTAAACAACATTAAACTAAGAAAATACAATGGTTATCATAATTTATAACAGAGAAAACACCCCCCCACCCTTTAAAGGCATATGATTCCCTAAATGTAACTAAAGCCCAGCAGTGAGGAGCTGAACTTTACCCTCCTCTGCACTGCAGACTGGCAGGGTCACCTACAGCGTAGCGCTAGTAGCTGTTAATGAAGTAATGCTCTTTTTATTCGAGGGTCCCATTTCATATGGAAGATTTCAACCATTACCCCTTGTCACTCTGTTCTAAGGGGCAAGGTGACACTCGAAAATAAGGGGTAGGAGTAAAATTAAGAAATGGCGTTGGGCCTAAATGTACCCTACTACTGCCAATGCAACTTAACTACTACACTGGACAAAGCTTGCTGGTTTGTGTGGGGCATTTTTGTGAAGTATGTAGAAACATCTATATTTTGACTCTTAAATGACCTCGTAATTCAGAGGATCCATGACATTCTGAGGAAAAATGTCCAGGTTTGGAATATTTTTGTTTATCACAGTAAGTGATAATAGTGATTTATTAAAAACAGCATTCATTTTTCTCACAGAGAAATCCAGCGTAGACTCTAGAGTTCTTAATATGGGCATGATGCAGACTACAGAACGACGACATGACTTCTGGGATGAATGGCTGTATGACATATTTGTGCTATGCATGCCGGGTATTATAGTGAGAGAACATTCATGGATAAAAACATGAATATGATATAGAATCATTAACTGTCAAACCGAAGAAGCTGAGAGATAAAATGCTGCAGAAAAATACTGCATAGCATGACACATCACATTTTAAACCTTAAACTTTTGAGGAAGTGTGATTATTTAGGCATTTAGTGTACACAATAATCATTGGTGGCCGTAAGATTCTGTCATGTGTTAGCTACATTAGCCTTTAGCTCCAGTGCAAAACTAAAGAAGCAGACTCCAGACACCAGGCATGCCTGGGCTGATCAGTTATGTTTGGAGGAATGGGAGGAAACCGTGTAAATTAGATTTTGTACCAAACTACTGCTTTATCATTGCTGGTAATTTTTTGTCCATCTATTAGTCATACATAATGTATTTAGCTAGAACATATCGCGCCTTATTTTTATTCATTTTTGTCCTTCCACATAAACATTTATGAGACTGTGAGTGAATAAACTGAAGCATAAACATCTCAGCGTCTCATTTGCTCCCACAGAACTGTTTTGGTTGCATGAAGTCCCACCACGGCTAGACCCCGGCAGACCCAGACTATACACCAGTAACACCAGACAAGCCAACTTACATGAACAATATTTCAGTGCCGACTGTGTAGTTCGCGGAAAAATAAATCAATTTTAAAAATACACCCCTCGTGTGCCGTGATATATGATGCACAGACTGTGCCACTGTCAAGGCTGCTGTCTTTTATAGCAGTGCAGCTGAAAGCCACATTGGCTGAATCAGGCTTAGCTGCTGTGTGCTACCTCAGCTGACTGAGCTGTAGGCACTTTAAAGCGCAGCCGTCCTGCCACGCTTCCCGAAACTTTCCACTGACTGAGCGTGCTCAATAATTCCACAACACAGCCTTGTGTACATAAATATAAATACAAATATAAATATATGCAAGCAGTTTTATTCCAACCCTGGTGTTTTTTATTTAATGCTACATCACAGGCAGTATACTGAAGGCCCAAATAAACTAAAACACAGCCTGTTTTGCCAAGTTGGATGGACACCCGTTCGTATATGGACCGTATCTATTCCTCCCGCAGCTCTGCAGTTATGGCTGATGATAACTATAAGGGATGTTTTGGCTGTTTTTATTTCTCCGCTCTCACAGGCTTTGAAAAATGAGGCGAGGAGGTGCCACTTGGAGTATACATATATATATGTGTGTGTGTGTGTGTGTGTGTGTGTGTGTGTGTGTGTCTTTGTGTGTGTGTGTGTGTGTGGATGTGTGTATTTAGCTCTTTTTGAGGGCATAATCCCCCCAGGATGATGAACATGAACATTTTGTCATTCCATTATGAGGAAAAATACTTTTTCACCCCCAAAAACTGCATTTATTAAAAAATGTGAAAGAGGCTTGTTAAGCTTAAAGGTGTGATTTTTCCAAACATCTACATAATTCAGTCTTTAAGACGTAAACAAAGTCATTCAGAGTGGTTTGATGTGAAATGCTCCATTCTAGGAGTCAGAATTATTCATAGTGGTAGTGAAAGGAACCAGACGTCTAAAGTTATTGCATGAAAGGGTTATGAATATGTTGCCTGATCACTGAGATATTAATTTATGATATAGTGGTTCGTATGGCAGACTTGAGTTTGCTTTTCCTGCCTAGGAAAGCACACAGTGTCACTCCAATAACAGTCCTTAGGCTAGACACCTAATGCTACATTCACTATTTCTGTAATGTGTCACTCTGGATTAAAACATCTACCAAATGCCAAATGTGTATGTAGTTTTGAGAAGGTTTTCACTTAAAACATATTTTCTAAATCCTTTCAGGGTGGAGGGGACATACAGGGCATTGTAAGACAAAAACAGACATGTATAGTTTTGTATAGTAAATTAAATGGCTATAATTGGCCCAATCCCATTTCTTATTTTTACCCCTACCCCTTGTTTTTGAGTGTCACCTTGCCCCTCGGAACTGAGTTAGAAGGGGTAGTGGTTGAAATGCTCCCTACAAATTGGGACCCTCAAATAAAAAGAGCATTACTTCATTAACAGCTACTGGCGCTGCTCTGTAGGTGACCCTGCCAGTCTGCAGTGACAGCAGAGGAGGGTAAAGTTCAGCTCCTCATTGCTGGGCTTTAGTTACATTTAGGGAATCATATGCCTTCAAAGAGTGGGGGGTATTTTGTCCATTAAAAATTACAGTCACCATTGTATTATCTGACTTTATTGTTGTTTAAATGTATTATGGTCCTTCATACCAAGCATAAAAATCGCTAGCAGTATGCTGATGTCTCAGTAGCTAGTCAGCTAAATCTCCCATTCCACCTTAAATGGTGCAGCAGTTCTGATGCCTATAGTGTAGAACAGAGCATGATAGCAGTGATTTTCTTCCACTTCAACTACAGAATGATATACGAGGTCTATTTGGAATCGCCGTTGTGTCAACCAATCCTGACTGCTAGCCTAGCCACTGAGCTATGGGCTAATATATAGAACCAAGCTAGCATTACTGTAACTCTTACCTCAGCCATTGAACACCATTTTCTCTTTATTTAACACAAAATGGACATCAAGTTTTTCACCCTTTTAGACAGAGAAAAGAAGCCAAACTGAGGTAGGTTATCTAGATCTTAGCCAACTTTAGCAACCTTGCAAACTTTAGCTTTTAGCTTGTTGTCCTCCTCATGTAATGAGACATTTCTGTCGTTTGTATAATCACTTCTCTCCATTGTTATGGTGATACAGTTATACAGCCGCAACAGGATATTTGCTATCTGATTTGATTTGATTGCCTTTAGCGAGAGATGGATGTGACAATTATTTATTATCGCCCACCCCTAATTCTTCAGTGATATGAAGCTGAAGTCAGATATTCTCCAGCTTCTTGTTCGAATTTTCCCATTCCACCTTAAATGGTGCAGCAGTTACATTCTGGCACCTCACCATTTAAGGTGGAATGAAAAATTCAGCTAGCTAGCTACCAAGATATCAGCATACTACTAGTGATTTCTTATGCTTATCATGAATAAAAGGACCATAATACACTGAAACAACATTAAACTAAGATAATACAGGGGTTATCATATTTTTTTAACGGTGAAAATTCTCACATTTGTGGGTTTTTTTGGTCTCTAGTGCTCCATCTTGCCTGTTTTTCTTTCTTTCTCATAACTCTGTTTGGAGTGAGTCTCTGCAAAACCTGTTTGGAGGGCCATGTAGCTCTGACACTTCGCCCTACCCCTCTATCTCAACGAGAATCGGGACACCCTACCCCTAGATGTGAACACGCAAAACGGAGGGGTAGGGCTAGGTGGTATGGGCAAGGGGTGAAATGGGATTGGGCCTTTGTGTTGCACCCCCTGGTTCCTATCAGCACCACTGTAACGTAACAGAGTCTGTAAGCTTCCCTACAATTAACCACTTCAAATCAAACCACTCTGAATGACTTTGCTTGCATTGTAATGATTTAATTACGCAGAAATTGTGAACAATCAGTCGAATTCCTCTTTAAGATCAGGATTAGGTTAGAGCTCAGCAGCATTTACACTCTCATACAGAAGACCATGGAAACACAACACAAACACCAA